TGAGGTTTTTACATGTCGTCTTGCCCCCCCTCCCTCACCTGGCCGCGCGCGTCGTCCGAACATCGTCCCCCGGCAATCTTTTCAGCCTTCACACGGCCAAGATGGCCTCCAGGAGGGCTTATCTGACAGCCAAGACGACACCGAAGCGGCTCCAGATGGCACAAGATGGCTCAAGAGGCTCTGCAAGCGGCCTCACTGCGGTGTGAGAGGCCCCCAAAACGGCCCAAGAGGGCTCCAAGAGGCCCTCCAGGAGAGCCAGAGGAACCCAACATCATTGTCTTTCGATAGCTTTTGGAGGTTCTCGCCAATTTGGGTTCCCGACCGCCCAAGATGGCCCAAGGGGCTTCCAAGCTAGCTCTAAGACAGCCCACTACGCCCAAAAGATGGCGCCGAGTCGGCCCAAGAGGACCCCACGATCGCCCAAGAGGCTCCTAGGAGGGCCCCAACACGGCACTAAAGCGCTTCAAGAGGGCACCAAGAAAACAGCTTCCGAATGCGTCAGACGGGCCAATCGCCTCACTAAGACGGCCCAGGAGGCCCCAAGAGGCGCCCAAGATGGTCCAGGAGGTCCCCAATAGGCCTCCCAGGATGCTCCCAGGACGCCCCCAGGCGGCCCCAAGAGGGCCCCAAGAAGCTTTCTCCTCCTCGTCCTCACTTTCTTCCCCTCCTCCTCCTCCTCCTCCTCCTCCTTCTCCCCCTCCTCCCTACCGCGCGGACGGAGACGATGTTGGGATCACGACCCTCCCCAATTCAGACCACTCGCTGAACTGCCGCGGGGTGTGAACTCGGCCTCCTTCCTACCGCGCGGACGAAGACGAGGTCGAATTCACGACCCGTCCTTATCATATCACTTGTCGTGATTTCGCTGGTTCTACACTCAGCCTCCTTCCTGCAGCGCTGTTGAACAGGCGCGGTGGTGGGGTTTGCCACAGACAACTGGATAAAGAGTAGGGGTGGAGGACAAGGTGGTGGAAGAGGGGGGGGGGGAGGATGCTGCTGATGATGACGACGATGATGCTGATGACGATGACGACGATGATGGTGGTGATGATGATACTGCTGATGCTGATGACGATGATGATGATGGTGATGATGCTGGCGACGATGATGACGATGCTGCTGATGCTTATGCTGCTGATGATGATGAGGCTGATGCTGATGCTGATGTTGCTGATGCTGCTGATGCTGGTGATGGTGACTGCGATGATGGTGACGATGTTGGTACTGCTGCTGCCGATGATGAGGCTGGTGCTGCAGCTGATGATGATGACGGTGATGATGCTGATGATGACGATGCTGCTGATGGTGTTCAGGATGATTATGACAAAGATGATGCTGATGATGGCGACGACGGCGATGACGATGACGATGATGACGAAGACGACGATGATGCTGATGCTGATGATGACGACGTCGACGACGATATTGATGATTATGTTGCTGTTGATGATGATGTTGATGCTGCTGCTGCTAATGATGATGATGATGATGCTGATGATGATGATGATGACGACGTTGATGATGCTCGTGCTGCTGATGATGCTATTGCTGATGGTTGATGATGATGCTGCTGATGCTGATGTTGATGATGATTCTGAATATGAGTATGCTGATTAAGGTGAGGTGGATGACGAGGACGACGACGATAATAGTGATGGTGGTGATGGTGATGGTTAGGGTACGAAGGGTGATGGTGATGTAAGGGGCAAGATTGATGTAGAAGTAAGGAAGGGCGACACTGATGATGACAAGATGACATCGCGAATAAGTAGGAAGCGGCAGTGCAGGAAGATGGAGGAGGAAGGGGAATGGAAGGGAAGGGAAGGGAAGAGAAGGGGGAGGAGGAGGAGGAGGAGAAGGAGAAGGAGAAGGAGGAGGAGGAGGAGGAGGAGGAGGAGGAGGAGGAGGAGGGGACTCAAGGGGCCCAGGGACACACAAATAGATACACACAAATAACAGGATTCCCCATATTTTCTTACATTTTCGGGTTTTCGTTTCCCCCCCACTTCCCATATTTTCCAATAGTTTCCTGGGAGTCGACGATTCATGGTGCCTGTGTGTTTCTTTCCCTCCTGAGAGACGGGGGAGGAGGGGGAGAAGAAAGAGTAGTGCACGCTGCCAAGGGGCGCGTCCGCCAGCCTACGCGGCGGGCCCGCAAGCGCAGCGCTGCGCGGCCGGAGCCAGGTGGACCGCGGGGAGGCGAGCCCGCCAGGCAGCAGCACTCGGCGGGGAGGGCACGGCCGCCGAAGGGGCCGCCGGGGGCGCGGCTAGGCCCTGCGGGGCGCTCTGGCCGGCGTGCCGGAGGCGGCCGCTGTCCCCGCCGGGGCTGCCGGCTGGCGCGAGTCGCTCCCGCCCGCGCGCGGCCGGGCTGGGCCAGGGCTCAGCCAATGCCTGCGCGGGGCCCATTCAGACCCCCGACATATCCCGATTTTCGAACGACGTGGACCCCCAGAGGTCTGGGCCCCTTCCCCGGGACCGGTCTTGCATCCCGCCTCGTCTTCTGACGGTCCCGGGGCCGAGTGAGGGCCCCGGGGTGCCGAAACCGGCGAAGAGCTGCGCGTCGTGATTTCGCCACAGCGCGAGGGGGTCTGGGGGCCCGGCTGGGGCCATGCTGGCAAGGGCCTTGGTGGTTGCGGGCCCGCGGGCAGGGGCGGCTCGCCACAACGGGCAGGCGGCTGGGGGGGGGCCGCGGCCGAGGGTGACTGCTGCGCCGACGCAGCAGTGGGCGCTCGGCCGTCGCGGAGTCCATGTGTATGGCCGCGGGCCAGATCCCCGAAGCCGCCTCGAAGGGGACGGCGCGACCGTGCTTCAACAGGGGATATGTCGACCCCGGTTCCAGGCTTCGTAGGGTCTTCGAATGGACCATAATCTTTGGGCCCAGCCTTGGGATATGCGATGGGGAGGCGCCCATCCTCCATAGGGGTGCGTCCAAAAAGGCCCCTGGCGGCGCATCCCGGAGTTTCCCCCTTTTTCTGATCGGCCACATTTTTCGGGCGGAGCTCGAGGATTGGGGGAGAAGAATCGCCGGTGATGCTTGTCGAACAGCTTTTTGTGGAGGTGGTAAGTGTGGAGCGCGAGCACGAGCCCGCGAACAGCCGCCCCATGAGACCAATCGCTGGCGAGCTCGGCCGCGCCGCCCGGCCCGAGCCGGCCTGGCGGGAGGGAGCGCGGCAGAGCAGCCCAGTGCCGCAGCCGCCGGCAGGAGGAGGTGGCGCCCGATGTCGTCCGCCGCGGGCTCGCGGCCGAGCAGGCAGGGTCGCGGCTGCATGGTGTGTGTGTGTGTGTGTGTGTGTGTGAGTGTGTGTGTGTGTGTGTGTGTGTGTGTGGGCTTCCGGGGCGAGGGGCGCGGCGGGTCTCCAGGCGCGGAGCCGTTTCCGCCGAGTCGCCATCGTGGTCTTGGGGGTTGAGCGAGGCGGAAAGGGAGCGGATGAAGGACGTCTGTAGCACGGGCTTCCTCATCAGCAGCGCTGCTGTCCTCTGCTCTTCCTCCTCCGCCCTGATGCTCTCCTGGAAAGGGGGGGAGGAGGAGGAGGAGGAGGAGGAGGAGGAGGAGGAGAAGGAGGAGGAGGAGGAGGAGGAGGAGGAGGAGGAGGAGGAGGACGAGGCGGAGGAAAAGGGGGGGGAGGAGGAAGGGGAGGAGGAGTAGGAGGAGGAGGGAGAGGGGGAGAAGAGGAGGGGGAGGAGGAGGAGGAGGAGGAGGAGGAGGAGGAGGAGAGGAGGAGGAGGAGGAGGAAGGAGCGGAGGAAAAGGGGGGGGGAGGAGGAAGGGGAGGAGGAGTAGGAGGAGGGGGGAGAAGGAGGAGAGGAGGAGGAGGAGAAGGAGGAGGAGGAGAGGAGGAGGAGGGGAGGAGGAGGAGGACGGAGGAGGAGGAGGAGGAGGAGGAAAAGGGGGGGGAGGAGGAGGAGGCGGGGGAGGAGGGAAAGGGGAACGAGGAGGGGAAGGAGGACGCGGATGAGGAGGGGTTAGAGTGATGCCTTTTTCAAGCCACAGCCCGAACGATGAAGCGATGCCGCAGTTGTACAGAACAAATCACGTCAACCAACCTGAACCTGTGATTTGGACGCCCGAAATGGGTACGGAAGAAATGGGTACGCTGCCCAACAGCAAACGTTGTCCAAAACCGACGGCGGCCGCTGTTGGGCAGGCGGCCTCCTGTCTCAGATGGACAAGGTCCGCGTCGACGCCGACGGCGAGTCCTGCTCAAAACGGACAGGGACTGCTGTCTGTCTTCGTGCCGATTCTGTCCTTACCCATTACGGTCCTCTGGACGGAAGCCAGACATCCGGCGTCTTGATTATTTCTCGATTTGTTTGAGGCATAGACCCCCGATCTCTCGACCACTTCCCAGGGACCAATTTTCCTCACGAGTTCATTTTTTTGGCGGCCCCGTGGCCCCGTGAGGGCCCCGAAAGGCCGAAGACGACGCAGAGCCCGCTGCCTGGCTGCTTCCGAGACGCCACATGCCTGGGAGAGCCCCGGGCGGGCTCGCCCCGGACCGGCAGCCTGGCGACCCGCCTCGGCCACGGGGCCGCGCACAGCGCCCCGAGGAGCGCCGCCGCGCCGCGGCCGGGGCGATCGGGGCCACCGCCGCGAGGGCGCAGGAGCAGCTCGGAGCACTGCGGCGGGCCGAGCCCAGAAGGCGCCACGGGCGGTGAACGCACCGTGTCAGCGTGAGGGCGCCCACGGACACACACAGATCCCAGGATTCCCAGGCTTCGTCGTCGTCATCGTCGTCGTCGTCGTCGCCTTCGTCTTCGTCGACGGGGAGGGAGTAGAGGGACACACACACACACACCACACACAAATGAAGAGACACACATCCCAAGATTCCCAATCTATTTTCCCTGTTTTGTCGGAGGCTCGTCTTCCCCTCCACGTCCTATCTATCTTCCCAGATCTTCCTGTCGTCGACTTTTATGTGTGCACAGATCCCAGGATTCCTAACGTATGTTCAATATTTTTCCAGATGCTCGTCTTCCCCTCCACGTCCCGTCCATCTTCCCATGTCTCATCCTGGGACTCGACTTGTATGTGTGCCCGTGAAATTTCCTCCCGTCCTGAGATGGGTGGCTCAGGGCACTGCTGCAGTCCGAGCCAGGAAGGTGCCACAGGCGGTGAACGCACCGTGTCAGAGGGCAAGCGCGTGCCGCGGGCCCAGCCGTGCGGCGGAGACTGGTGGCCCTCTACCGCAGCTGCCGGGCACCCTGGCTGGGGCTTGGCCCAGCGCCCGAGAGCGGCCGAGTAGGCCTGCCACAGTGCGGGGTCTGGAGCTACGGCAGGTTCGCGCCATGACGACTTTGTGCGCTGGAATCTGACACCGCTTCGGGGGTCGTTCAGCCTTCAACGATCGCGACTTTCCGACAGCGCAGATCTTTCGCCGTCGGCCGGTTCAGGGCACCGGCGGCGCTGAAGCTTGGACGCCCGCGCTAAGGTCACCGCCGCGTCGATGCGACACGAGCTGCTGCACGGCGGCATGCCCCGACGGCGCCTCTGGCGCCGCCCCACCTCGAAAGCCCGCCCTCCAGGTGCTCGGGGCTGCGCCCGCCGAGGTGGAAAAAGGAGCGGGCGAGACTTTCGAGGCGGAGAACTGGGGTGGGGGAGGCGAGGTGGGCCTGGAGGAGAGGCGGAGGCGGAGGGACCGGGCGTCTCCCGCGGGCGAGAGGGGGGGCAGAGGGCAGCGACGGCGGGGAGGGGAGGCGGAGGCAGAGCGCGGACCGGCAGCTGGTCATCCGTTGGGCTGCTCTGTGCAAGGACTGCTGACAGGCTCGCCTGCCTGGCCAGCCTGGCTTGGCCGGCGGACGGCCAACGCACCCCAGGTGGATCTGTTGAGGTTCTGTTTGCTGTGTGTTGCGTCATCCCTTCGGCTGTGCTTCACCGCCCGCCCATCTCTGGACCCCCCTACCCCGCTGCACCGCTCCACGAGTGGGCGGTCGCACGGCGTCTTCAGCGGCTTCCTACCATGGGAGGGGTGCATCGGCGGTTGGGAGGGGGCAGCGTTTGTGCGTTTTTCTTTCTATCTTTGCTTTGTCCTCTTCCTGGCGTGCCGACCGCCCCTGGGGTGGCGACCAGTGTGGCGGTCAAAAGGAGGCGATCCACGGGGGGTGCCCGAGATAGTCTCAACGGTCCTCGTGGTACCAAGTCCTGCGTCGTTGCCACACGAGGAGGCCCCCCCGCGAAGGGGGTACGGGGCTGGCCCGTGTGATCTCCCTCTCTCTCTCTCTCTCTCTCTTGTTGTCCATTACCATCCATTGTTGCTCCCGTTCTGCCTTGCTGTGCTGCTCGGCCGGGCCTGTGGCCGCAGTTCATTCCTTGACGAGGGGGCTCCGGCACCGTGTCGGTGCCCCCTTCAGAGCTCGACACGAAAGCTCCAGGACCCCGTGGACCTTCACGTTTTGGCCTCTTTCGTTCATTCAGTTCGGATGGGAGACAGGGCCGAGCTCTACCCCTGCGTACTGTTTTTCGCCTTGGCCCTTACCCGCCTGATTTCACTGGCCTTTTGGTGAGACGCCAGGCGCCTGACTTGTATCCAGACCTCCAGGAATTCAGCATCGAGTTCGAGGAGGCTTTGCTTTGCCTTGCTTGTCGGCGGCCGCGGCCGCCGCTCACTTACGCTCCAGGTGTGTGGATCGCAACTTGCCTGAGTAAAAATTAGCCTGGCGAAAGACCCAACCATATGCAGTTGTGAGTACCGCAATTGTGAATATCTTCTTCGGTGGCGCTCCTTTGGGGCCACGAAGCGCTGTACTGGGTGGGTGAAACGATGGGAGCAATGGCTGTACTGGGTGGTGGCGGACGCATGCGGGCGGTGCCACTGGGACCTTCGGTGGAGCTCCCATGGGGCCACGAAACGCTGTACTGGGTGGGTGAAACGCAGGAAGCAAGGGCTGTGCTGGTTGGTGGCGGACGCATGCGGGCGGTCCCACTCAGACCTTCGGTGGAGCTCCCTATGGGGCCACGAAGCGCTGTACTGGGTGTATGAAACGCAAGGAGCAAGGGCTGTGCTGGGTGGTGGCGGACGCACGCGGGCGGTGCCACTGGGACCTTAGGTGGAGCCCCCTATGGGGCCACGAAGCGCAATACTGGGTGGGTGAAACGCAGGGGGCAAGGGCCGTGTTGGGTGGTGGCGGACGCATGCGGGCGGTGCCACTGGGACCTTCCGTGGAGCCCCCTATGGGGCCACGAAGCGCTGTCCTGGGTGGGTGAAACGCAGGGAGCAAGGGCTGTGTTGGGTGGCGGCGGACGCATGCGGGCGGTGCCACTGGGACCTTCCGTGGAACCCCCTATGGGGCCACGAACCCTTGTACTGGGTGGGTGAAACGCAGAGAGCAAGGGCAGTGGGTGTTGGGTGGTGGCGGACGCATGCGGGCGGTGCCGTTGGGACCTTCGATGGGCCCCCCCTATGGGGCCACGAAGCGCTGTACTGGGTGGGTGAAACGAAGGGAGCAATGGCTGTACTGGGTGGTGGCGGACGCATGCGGGCGGTGCCACTGGGACCTTCGGTGGAGCTCCCATGGGGCCACGAAGCGCTGTGCTGGGTGGGTGAAACGCAGGGAGCAAGGGTTGTGCTGGTTGGTGGCGGACGCATGCGGGCGGTCCCACTCAGACCTTCGGTGGAGCTCCCTATGGTGCCACGAAGCGCTGTACTGGGTGTGTCAAACGCAAGGAGCAAAGGGCTGTGCTGGGTGGTGGCGGACGCATGCGGGCGGTGCCACTGGGACCTTCGGTGGAGCCCCCTTATGGGGCCACGAAGCGCAATACTTGGTGGGTGAAACGCAGGGAACAAGGGCCGTGTTGGGTGGTGGCGGACGCATGCGGGCGGTGCCACTGGGACCTTCCGTGGAGCCCCCAATGGGGCCACGAAGCGCTGTACTGTGGTGGTGAAACGCAGGGAGTAAGGGCCGTGCTGGGTGGCGGCGGACGCATGCGAGCGGTCCCACTGGGGGCTTCGGTGGAGCTCCCTATGGGGCCACGAAGCGCTGTGCTGGGTGGGTGAAACGCATGGAAGAAGGAGGTGGGATGGGAGGACGGGGAGGAAGGGGGGGAGGAGGAGAGGAGGAACGCGGGGACCGTCTTTTCAAAACGAGGACCCAACACTACAGGATGGTTGGGGAAAAAATAGGGGGAGCGAACTCAACGGCAGCGAGGACGGGGAGGGCAAACAGAAAGGCGCAAGCGGACGGGGCTCGCGCTTGTTGAAACGCGCCGCGAGTGGGTCCGCCTCGTGGAAAATCGCAGCATGGTTCGGGGGGCGCTGGCGAAAGGGCGAGAGGCCCCGTGGGAATCAGGAAGATGGGGCGGGGCGGGTCAGGCGGGGTCCCGGCTAACCTCGGCCTCCAGAGGCCCACAAAGAATGCGAGGAACAGATAAAGAAGTCGATCATCGATCATCCTTGTCGTCGTCGTCGCGGTCGTCGTGGCCGCCGTTGCCGTCGTCGTCGTCGTCGTCGTCATCGTCGTCGTCGTCGTGGTCGTGGTCGTCGTCGTTGTCGCCGTCGCCGTCGCCGTCGTAGTCGTCGTGGTCGTGGTCGTCGCCTTCGTCGTCGACTTCGTCGTCGTCGTCGTCGTCGTCGTCGTCGTCGTCGTCGTCGTCGTCGTCGTCGTCGTTTTCGTCATCGTCGTCGTTGCCGTCGTCGTCGCCTTCGTTTTGTCCTCGGGAGAGAGTAGAAGGAAAACGTGAAGATGAGGACGAGGAGAACGGATGGAGGGGACGTGGGAAACCCGAACGTCCTCTGCGCGCTGCGAGGGGACTACGGGCCCAAACTGCCTCAGTGCGGAACTGCTGGGGCTGACCCCATGGGTGCTTTCGCCCCGGGAGCTAGAACAACTTTGGCGGATGAGGAGGACAAAGGGACACTTGAAGAGGAGCAAGTGCAAGAGGGGGTGCGGAGGAAAAGGGTGATGATGGTGATGATAAGGATGAGGAGGATGAATAAAACGGGAGAATGACAAAGAGGAGGGCGAGGTTTAATATCATCCCCAACATCAAGACCAACGGAACTGAACACACATCTCGATGAAGGCCCTCACTTGGAGCCCGTCGCAAAAAGCACAGATCTCTCGGGTTGCCGATGAGGATGGAGGCGGGAAAAATACGATGAAGATGATCATGGGGAAGCAGCGGTGATGATGCTGATGATGCTGATGATGAAAATGACGATGACGACGACAACGATGATGCTGCTACTTATGATGAAGATGACGATGTGGCGACGACGGCGGCGATGACGATGCCGATGGCGATGCTTATGATGCTGCTGATGATGATCACGATCATGGCCATGGTGATGATGATCATGGCCATGGTGATGTTGATGCTGACGATGATGATGATGCTGATAGCTGTGGCCAGCAAGATTCAGCAATCGCTGCAGCCAGAGCGCGCTCTAGTGCCAACCCCCAGTAATGATGATGAGTGCGACGATGATGGAGATGCCGACTATTTTTAAATCGACGAGTGGGGCTGCCGACCACTGCAAGCATACTGTATCACACTAAGCGCAGATTGGCCGTGTCGCGTTGCATGCTTGGGACTCCCTGGTCCAGCGACCGCAACCGAACTCACAGGAACGGGGACGGCCCGAATTGGAAAAGGCGTCCACAAAGCTGCATCTGAATTGGTCAGCCCTTAAGCCGCGCCAGGGCGCACACGATAGAATCAAGGCCCCTCCTGGAATCAGTGCGATTGCAAACCTAGGCAAATCAGGCCCGCCAGCGCGGGACACTTTACGGACAACTAAGCAAATGCCCCGGTTTTCGGAAGAAATGTCCAGCGCTCCGCTTGGGGTGATAGTAGGGGGCGGCGGGCGTTGGCATACAGTGGGGACAGAGCAGATGTCCAGCGGGCTCGGCTCGGCTCGAACGACTACTATTTGGACAGGACATCGAGCCAACTGGCATGCCTGTTCTCGAGCCAGCCCGCTGGGGCTATCCCCGCGCACCTCACTGCGCGAACCGTCCGCCGTGAACGCCGCCGTGATGAGCCCGTGGTGCGGCCAGATCGGCGCTGCGAAGAGCACTTTGACCTTGCTTTCTTCGTGGCACTTCTGGATCCTCACTGCCTCGGCGTCGAGCTCGAGGTTCGACCTCGTGATGGCTAGCTCGCCGACAGCGGGCTGAACCTTGCCGAGGTACTCTTGCAACTGCATCTTGGCATGGCCGCCGATGTCGCAAGCGATCGGCATGTTTGCTGAAGTGGCCGCCAAGCCCGCGGTCGGAATGCCGACCGCGCGGAGCTTCTCCAGCCCTTCGCCGCGGGCCGCCTCCACCTCCCTCTTGACGGCCTCGATGTCCTGCTGGCAGGCGGTGGCGACCTCGTGATCTGCAGGGGGCGTGAACGTGTCGACCGCGGTGCTCGATGCCAATCGAGCTCGACGGGCAATTTGGAAGCTCTATTTGGCTGCCGATGCTGGTGTGCCCGACGGGCCCCCCGAGAGGCAAGCGCTTGGTGCGCCTCCTTCAGAGTCCAGAGCTTGGCTACGGTGTCGGTGGGCCGTTGCGCTGTCGGAGCGGGTGGCGCGCTCCGCTCGGTCCTTGCAGGGCCGCCGAGGCTGGCGGAGTGAGTGGGATGCGGGTGGCCCAGCGGTGTCGTGGTTTCTGGGTATCTCCACGACGGAGCTGGCATCCTGGTAAATCTGGAAACTCCGCCAAAAGATAAGTAGTGTCGGGCTCTTCATCATCGCCACTCCCCCCCGTGGAAAAAGGATCTGTCATGTGTCGAAGGTCGATTTCGTGGTCCAGGGAATGCTGGTGCCGTCATCGTGTTCCGTGTGTGTGTGTGTGTGTGTGTGTGTGTGTGTGTGTGTGTGTGTGTGTGTGTGTGTGTGTGTGTGTGTGTGTGCGGGCGTGCGTGCGTGCGTGCGTGCGTGTGTGTGTGTGTGTGTGTGTGTGTGTGTGTGTGTGTATGCGTGTGTGTTCGCCGTAGCAGCATGGTCCAAATCTTGTTAGCCAGGAGCGCGTCCAAAATCTGAGTCACCAGGGGGGCTGAGCATGTACCCTTCGAGCCTTGCCCAAACTTTGCGATCTTCTTAATACGCCATGGACCAGGTGCAAACTAGTGTTTCCACAAGTTGCATCATCCAATGGGGCCAGCCCTCGCTCGTGCGGTAACCGCACGCTTGCAACTTCTGTTCACACTAATGCGAGCGCGTGACGTTCATCACTTCATGGGGGATAATAATTCGGGTGTCTTGCTTGGCAACGTGCTGGGTGTAGCCGCCCGCGTGCAGGCATGAAATGAAAGTGTCGTTGTCGAGATAGCCTAAGCTAAGAGCCTGAGACGCGTTCCATGTGGCACGGCAAGGACTTTCACCAGACCGTTACTGAAACGCCCCGACAAAGATACCATCCCACTGACCGCTCAGAGGCCCCCGGGACTGCAGCGCGTCCCCCACGACCATGTTGAGCTCGCGCTGCCTCGCGTTCGCCAAGGGATATAAGGACTCTGCGGATTTTTCTGGTTCGTTCGAGACACCTGCTCTGCCCCCCGTTGTGAAGTGCATGGCGTCGTCCTCGCGGCTGACCTGATCAAATATGCTGCCTGCCGATCTGTGGTTGTAAGGCGTCGTGAAACTCGTCTAAATCTTGACACTGGTGTGCGTTATCTAGTCGCTGTGGGTCGCCCGTGACGATCGCGTTCCGCATGTCGTATCGTGTAGCCACATAATACGGACTGCATGCTCGTAGTTTCCACATGGTGAGCTTCACGGGAATCATGAGCCCCTCCCTCTGGCGGTTGACGATACCTCCGTACGCCCAACAATGCGGGTCGAAGGAGCTGCTGTTACCGACCATCCCGACTCGGAGGAGGAGCCTGCACCAATGGCAAAAGCAATGCAGTAGTCTTAACTACTTGATGGTGTTTGCCACGGTGTCGCCTGTCTGCGTTTCCAAACTTACTAGTAGCTATCTGCCTCGCGTATGTGATAGTAGCCGGAGTAGCACATCATGTCCGACCGAAGCGTGCTGATCAGCCACTGTCATTTGTCTCTCCGCATGCTGGCCTTCCATGATGACGATGATTGCGATGTCGATGATGGTGAGGATGGTGATGATGGCGATGATGCTGATGATGCTGTTGATAATGCTGATGATGCTGATGATGCTGCAGCTGCTGCTGATGATGACGAGGATCATGCTGATTCTGACAATGGTAATCAGAATGATGATGCTGCTGATGATGATGCTGATGCTGCTGTTGATGATGATGCTGATGTTGATGATGATGCAGATTATTATGATGATGAAAATGGTGATGATGATGATGATGATGATGATGATGATGATGATGATGATGGTGATGATGAGGATAATGCTGATGATGATGACGAATAGGAGGACGAGGAGGAGGGGGAGGGGGAGGAGGAGGAGGAGGAGGAGGAGGAGGAGGGGGAGGAGGAGGAGGAGCAGGAGGGGGAGAAGGAGGAGGAGGAGGAGGAGGCGGAGGAGAAGGGGCTAGGGCGTCGTGCGGATATCCCCTGCGGCCGAAACAACCACTCATATTCAAAAGCGTACAACGACGCTCCAGACGGGAAAAGGGAGGAAGGACGGAAGAGGGGAGGTAGACATGGGGGAGGGAAACGAACAGGAGGAGGAGGAGGAGGAGGAGGAGGAGGAGAGGAGGAAGAGGAGGAGGAGGAGGAGGAGGAGGAGAAGGAGCAGGAGGAAGAGGCGGCACAACAATAGTGGCGCGCGGGATGCTGAGTAGCAGCTCGGCGGTGCCAAGGCCGCCGCGCAGGGCGGCCAACCCGCCAGGGAAACCTGGGCGCGGCAGAGGCCGTGCGCCAGCGCTCCCCGCCAGCGCCCCAGCTGGTGTATGTCGCCGCGCCGTTTGTTCTCGACGCGCCCGAGTGGACGGCGCCGACACTACGGCAAACCCGCGGTAAACGACGCGGCGACATTTGCATATGTGTGCTAACTGTACAGAGCCCGCTGTGTGCATCAGCAGTAGTGGGCCTCTCTCCTCAGTGCTCGCGGCGCCATGCGCTCAAGCACGCCCGATGTACTCATGCCAAGTGCTCTGGCAACGGCCTCGCCTGTACTCGACAATACCCAATGAGATGAAGTGTGCTGCGATGTCAACCAACTGCGGCGTCCCAAACTATCCAGAGGCATGTGCGAGCAACCAACAACCGTCGACTGGGCTGTGCTGTGAGGCAAGAGGGCAGCGCACCGGGGCGTCAGAAACCCTCGAAGAGCTGCTGCTCCGCTGCGGTGAGGCCTTTCGGCTCGTCGCAGCTGATGCCCATCTCTGGGTAGCTGTCAAAATTGCTGGTGTCGCTATCGCTATTCACTCTGGGTAGAAACGGCGGCGCACATCGTCTTTCAATGACCATGCTCCAATCCAGTGAAGCAAGCCACGGGTGGCTCTTTACATCCTCGGTGCCGTTCAGGCCGCTGCCCAGGCGGTACGACTTGTTCTTGATCAGGAGCTTGTCCACCATGGCTCGGGCGTCCTTCGTGAAGTAAGGAGGGTACTTCAACTGGCGGCTGAGCACATCCTTGCAAACCTCCTTGAAATTGGAGCCCTTGAATGGTGCCTGACCTGACAAGAGCTCGTAGATGAGAACACCCATGGCCCACCAGTCTACCCCCGTATCATGGCCCTGCATGGTGATGATCTCTGGTGCCATGTAGTCAGGGGTTCCGCACTGCGTGTAGGCTCGGGTTGTGATGCGCTTTGCGAATCCGAAGTCAATTAACTTCACGTGGCCTTGGGAATCGATTAGAACATTCTCCAACTTCAGGTCGCGATAGGCTACCCGCCAGTGTGCCCTCGGGACGTTGAGGCGTATTAGAACCGCTGCGAGGTGTGTAGAAAGAGATCGGTCGATTTCTAAGGACTCCCCCCTTTTAGCGAGGTGTTTGGGACTCCGCCCTTGTAGCTTCGCTCCTCGCCGCTCTTCTCGGCCTCCAGATGGTCCCAGGACAAAGCCAGACCGCCTCCAGACAGCTCCAAGATGCCCCAAGACTGGCTCAAGACGGCTGAACGACGCCCCCGGAGGACCTGGGGTGCCCCTCAGACGCCCCAAGAGACCTCATGATGCCCTCGATAGGCGCCAAACAATGGAAACCATGTGGTGTTTTGAATAGTATATTTGTTCCTGAAGCTTGCCGGCTCAGTTGTAATACTGCAAGAAAGGTTCCTAACGCCCCCAGAAGGGCCCTAGAAGCTTTCAATACGGCCCTTTCTGGTCCCAATATTGCCCTAAGACCGAACCAAACTGCCCAAGATGGTTCTAACGAACCGCTTCGAGAGAGCTCGGTCGAACCATCGCACCCAAGACTGCGCCGCAAGGAGCCTGATAGTACCCCAATGGGATCCCTCATAAGCATCCACTAAGCCCCCCAAAGCCACCTCACCAACCATGCAACGTTACGGACGCGCCACGCTACATCATCGTATAGCGATGTTTCCTCAACATCCTCAAGCTGGTTCTACCGAGCCTGCCTGTGTGATATCGGTCACACAACCCTGCATGCCTTTCAATGCTTCGCTGGCACGGTGGGGGGGTTTGTCGCAGGCATCTGGATGTTATGGCTGTGACAATGGCCGAGCGCCAAGGTGACCTCAGCGGCATAGAACCTTGCTCCATCATTCCGAAATTTCTTGCCACCCCGGACGGTCGAAAAGAGCTCGCCACCATTGACAAACTCCATGACCATGTAAAGCCTCGTGGTGTCCTGGAACGTGGCCAGCAGCTTGACGATGAAAGGATGGTCGACCTGGTTGAGCAGCTGCTTCTCCTGCATCACATGCGACACCTGCTTCTTCTTCACGACCACGTTTTTTTGCATGATCTTGAGCGCAAGGGGCATGGTATCACTGCCACTGGCAAGCTTGACGAGACGGACCGACCCCAAGAAACCAACGCCCACGGTCTTTATCATCTCGAAATCGCCGAGCCCCCAACTGCTGGACGCGGCCTCTGGCCGCGACGCTGTGGCTGCGAGACGCGCCCGCCGGCCTCGGGCCGCGACCTCGAGCTCGGTGGGATCACTGGGTAGCAGCCGGGAGCCGTTGTGCGAGGAGGCAGCGCTCGTGGGGCTCAGAGCCGAGCTGCAGCTCGAAGTGCCAGCAGAGCCACTGCCACTGCAGCTGGGGCCCTGGTCTTCCCAACCGCTGCTGAGCTTGGTGCTGGCCTGGGAGTGGGCGTCATCGTCTTCGCCCTTCTCCTTCGGATTTGTCTCTGCGGGCATGCCTGAGGTCTTCGAAGTATAACATCCGAGCAGGTAGCTGAGCACTTCCATCGCACACCTCATGGCGAGATGTGTCGGCGCGCCCGTCGTGCAGTGCGCGGCCGCGAGCGCTCGGGCAAGGACATGTCTAAGGAGCTCAGCAGGGGCCCCGCAGCCAGCGCCAGCGAGAGGCGATCTTGGAACTCCAAGGTTTGGGGCGGATGTTCGGCACAACATGGGTGCGCCGAAGGGGGCCTAGACCTAACAACTAAAGGCACTATCAAGGGGCACCTGCTGCCAGTGGAATGTCTGAACGACGCCGCGCTTTTTCTCAATACGAGCTCCCTGGTCGTATGGAATCCCTCCTGGGGACGGGTCTTTTCACCCCAGATCGTCGGCCCTGGAGCCCAGGGACGGCACCCAGAGGCCGAGACCAGCGAAGAACCTCCGCTTTGGCTTTCTCAAGACATCGGCGGTCAAGGAAGGTGATCTCGTGCGCCCCAAATTGCCGCCGTGGCCGCTCCCCCGCCTGCGCACCAGAGGGGCCGTGGCGCTGAGCAGACGATCAAGCCTGGCGGCTCTCGGCTACACGTAACACTGACCCCGGCCAGGAGTGGCCTTTGGTGCGCGGCCTCAGAGGACCACGGGGGTGCCACCTCTAAGCGTGCAGGCCTGTGCTTGGGGGGGCCCCTGTGGGCCCGCGCCCAACGTCACTCCAGCGAAAGGTCCCTGTTGCGCGTGGCCGAGGCTCTGCTTGCCCTGAGCCCCATCCCTTCCTCTGCCCGGCCCTCTCTCTGCCGCCTGTCGCTTGGCAAAGTAGATGGTCGAGCATCGGCGCTCGAGGTGTTCGGGAGTTCTGGGAGCTCTTTTCGCCATTCTCGGGTCGCCGCAGGCCTTGGGGGGGCTTCCTGAGACCTCTCCATGGCCTGCAGAAGCCTCTGAAACCCTGCGTAACAAAAAACAACCTTGATTTATTTTGGTTGTGCATTCGGGCCGCTAGGAACTCGTCTCGAGCCCCAGGGCCGTTCAATACGACTCAGGATGTCAAGGTGGCCCCAGGGACGGGGTCGAGAAGTCCAGAGGCCCGCAGTTCCAACGAACCAAACAACCAAGAGTCTGCCCCCCGCGAACGGTGGGTGCGTGCTGCGTCGGCGCGCGCAACGGCTTTTGACACCGAACCGATCGTTCAACCGTGAATCGATCGCGGTCCCGACCCCTCAAAATTGAACTCAATCGGGTCCAGTGGCGTTACGGTGTCCATCGGTGATTCCGCGGCGCAGATTTCCACCTTGAGCGCCTTCGCTGGTGTCGCCGGCGCGCCAACGCCGCGCGAACCTACCGTATCTCTCCCTCTCTCTTTCCGTCTTACTCTCTCTTTCCTCAGGGAGTTGGGCAATGTTTGCCTTTTGGGGTCTCTTGGCGGTCCTCTGGGAGCACTCTTGGCCCGTCCTGGGAGCCTCGTGGGCCGTCTCGGAGCCACCTTGGACCATCGTGCTCTGGCCCTCCCTCCGTCCTTCCGTCCGTCAACCTGAACTACCATGTACACCAGCGGATCGGTCCGCATGGCCGCGCTGCCGGCGGCGCCGCGTCCAGAAGCGCCCTGGCGATCGACGTGGCGAGCTTAATGCTGATGAGCGTGCGCCAACGGGCGCCCCAGCGGGTCGGCATTGTGCCACCGGCGGGCGCCCCAGCGTGCCCCAACGGGTGCCCCAGCGTCTGACCGTCTCTCTCTCTCTCTCTCTCGCTCTCTTTCTCTTTGCTTTTCGCCCTGAACCTCTCTCATTTGTAGTCTGTGTCCCTCGCTGCATCCCTCCCTCTATCACTCACCGTCGTCTTCCTCGCGGCCTGCCTCCCTCCTTCCCTCGCCTTCCCCTCCCTCCTCCTCGCTCAGATGTCGCACTCTTTCGTGCTGACCTTTTGAGGACTTGCGCTCGATGCCACTGCTCGTGCAAGCAGGCAGATACTCTACTTCTTTCGCGATCGCGGTGGCATGGACAGACGCTACAGGGCATCCGAAGCGCTAGCACCGTTCAGGCCGCATCGGCACTGCAGGGGCCACGCAACTTCTGCTGAGCCCACTGGTGGAATTTGATGCTCGACGGGACTGTGGTGCACAGTGCACCATCATCGCGTCCAGCCCCCCAGGTACAGGCAGCCAGAGCGACGATCAGGACATGATTGCTCGAGGAGGCCGCCATCTTTTCGCCCAGATCTTGCGAATGACGCTGGGGCCAACTTCGGGCGTACGGCCGGACTTAGGGCATAACAATATCCTTCAATCATATGAAGCCCGACGCCGGCCAATCCGAGGATAATTCGAGGGTGCCCTCGCCCAAGATGCACACTGATATCCAACAAACACGAATAACAGTCGGGTACCCTCGCCGAACCGATCTCGATCCCATACCTCGGCCCGACCGTGTGGCCCCGTGCATCTGGCAGGGGACCGTGAGGCCGGGCCAGCTCACCAGGAGCTGCCGGAGGGCTGCCGGGCCGAGGCGAACATGGGACGCGTGTCTCCGGGGAGGAGGAGGAGGAGGAGGAGGAGGAGGGGGAGAGGAGGAGGAGGAGGAGGAGGAGGAGGGGAGGAGGAGGGGGAGGAGGAGGGGGAGGAGGAGGAGGAGGAGGAGGAGAGGAGGGAGGAGGAGGAGGAGGAGGGGGCGCGGTGCCAGACCGTGCGATTCCTCGAGGTCCCCGCAAGGCTCGCAGGCACGGTCGGTCACCGCACGGCTCTGGGACCCTCGAGGCCCCAGCCGCCAGGGGCATCCACGGAGGGCGACTGGGGCCCTCGCACCGTGCGATCACCCCGGACCCGCACTGACGCACCACACGGCGTGGTCACCGCGCCGTTTGGGGACCCCCGGCTTCTGAACGGCTCTCTCTTCTGTTGCCGCACCAGGCCTGCCGAACGTGCTCTTGTCCTCTGAGGCCCCCTCTTCCCCTCTTGCTACTCCGGATTTCGTAATAAAAGGGAGGGGGTCTGGACCCTCCAAGACAAGCCATTTCAGACCCCCCCCGGGAGAACCCTCCAAAACATCGTCCCCAGACCCCCCCAGGCCCTCCAAGATAGCCTGGAAGAGACCCCCCCCGAAATGAGACCCCCCTCCCTTTATTACGAAATCTGGAGTACCGCCTTCCCTTCACTCTCCATCCTCCTCTTCACTCTCCCTCCTCCAGTCCTCGCTCCCACTCTCGCCTCCTCTCCCCTCCCCCCCCTGCCCAGTCCTGCCCTCGCCCTCTCCCGCTCCTATCCCCCCTCCTCTTCTTCCCTCCTCCTCCTCCTCCTCCTCCTCCTCCTCTGTCAGTCTCGTTCGAAGTTCGATACTTTGAGGAGGTAGAGACAACCCTCTGTGAGTATAGGTGCCCAGGGAACCCCAGTGAGACCCCTGTGCGCCCTTGTCTAGGCCCTGCCTAGGCCGCCTGTCCGCAGCCATTCTGGCGCGAAGCCAGACTGGAGCCAGTCTGGTGAGTTCTTAGAAACTCGGTCCGAAGCTCAGGGGGACCGTACACGTACGCTTGGATTGTTTGGAATAAGATTGCTTCTCGCTGTCTCTCTTGTGTTGCCATCATTTGATTGGAGTTGGGTATATCAGAGCTCTCTCGAGCTGGAACCCCGCCATATATCAATATATATTTCATCAGATATTGTGAGGACATCTCGAAGCGAAAGGCTGAGATCCGTGGACAACACGCTCCACTGACATTGGTAGCGAGACGAAGTGGCAGCCCACTTCGAGGTGAATCACTCGATCTCCAGTGACATCAAGAAGGATGGAGTCTGGACGAAGTGGAGTCAATATTCCCGTATGGAATGGCGAAGCTTCGACACTAGAGAGTTTCGAAGAGAAGGTGAAGCTGTGGGTCCTCGGCACCAAGAAGGAGGACAGAGTCTATCTAGGCCCGCGTTTAGTGCAGGCAATGGACGAGGACTCCCAGCAGTGGCACGAAGCCAAGAAGGTCTTGCTGGACGACCTAGTCAAGGAAGGCGGGGCCGAGCGAGTCGTGAATGCGCTGAAGGGCGTCCGAGGTACCGTGACAATGCAGGAAGCAGTGTCGAAGTGGAGAGAGTTCATGAGAGGCATCTACAGGAACCCAGGAGAGGGACCGAAGAAGTGGGTCTCGAGGTTCGACATTCATCTCAGCAAGATCGGCAAGGCCCTCCACGCGGTGTGCAATGACATTCCAGCGACGGGCTTCATGCACGAATTCATCCTGGGGTTGATCTTGCTGGACGGTACGGGTCTGGACCCATCCGAGCAAGCAGCAGTGCTGGCGATATCGGGTCCGAAGGGCAACTCGTACATGTACCAAGACGTGAAGAAGGCGCTGGCAGAGCAATGGTCCGAATAACAGTTGGCAGCCAGAGATAAACAAAAAGGGTACACATCGAGAAAAGGAGTGCACGCGATCTTCGAGGAGCCTGAGCAGATAGGCGAGCTGACCGCCTACGCGGAAGAGATCTACGACGAGGCCTACCACGACGGCTTCGGAGAGGCCACCGACCTGACGGAGACGGCGATGGCAGCCGCCGAGGAGCTCATGACGGCGACGATCGGGGATCCCTCGATCGCAGAGGAGCATCCTGGACAGGACGAAAGTCTAGCGGCGGCAGTCCTTTCCTGGAGAAGATCGAGCTGACGAGTGGACGGAGACAGCATACGCCGCTTCTCGCACGTTCCTGGAGGCTCGGAAGCTCATCAATGAGGTGAAGAACGCTAGGGGCTACTTCCCAGTGGTCGGACTGGGAGCGTACGATGCCATGCCTACTCAGCCAGGTCCAGGAGCTGGAAGAGGTCGTGCTGTGAGCCGAGGTGGACCACCCTCCAAAGGCAAGGGCAAGGGCAAGAACAAAGGAAAAGGCCGCGGCACACCATCAACTACGAGGCAGAACACTTCATCAAGTACGGCGCCGAAGAAGGTGGACAAGGATACGTGTCTGCTGTGTGGAGAACAAGGTCATCGTGCTCGAGAGTGTCCCAATCGAGGCATTGGTGGAACGACAGCAGATCGGAAGAGGGGGTTCAACAGCTTCGTGGGTGCTCTGGAGCACATCGTGGAGTTCGACAGCTTTGTGGGCACGTGCACCGAGGAGCAGATCCTGGTGGAGGACGACGGCAACTTCGAGGACGGCACGTTCATCGGCTTCAGCC